TTTGCATCCGGGCTGCAGTCTGTAGGGGCGTAGGCGGAGACGACAAATAAGGCACGCTTAACATCTCGACGCCTGCTTACGTTACATGAACCTCTTAGTCTGACTGCACATAGTCGGCTGTTGACTGGGATCCAGTCAAGCAGAGCTGATTCAGCCCTGGCACTTGATACAACCCCAACACCAGCTTGACCTGTGGCGGCAGATTCTGGGTCTCCGGAAAGCCGCAAGTAGTATTTGGCGTCAGAGTTTACCGGAGAGGCCATTCTGATGACGGCGCTAGAGTCTTGTAATCTGGTCTCTGAAAGGCAACAGATGTCTACCGATAGCGTTTCAAGAGTACGGGCCAGACATGCTTGTCGTCCGATTTGCATCAAAGTTCGAACATTAAATGTTGCGAGGATGAATGGAGAACCAGGTCGAAGAAGAGCTGGAGCTTCGGTGGAGTGAGAGGCGGTTGCGATCGCAGGACATTGAAAACCGGGAGTTTGGCTGTTACTTTCATCAGTTGCGAGACGTGGGTCGTTTGTGACGGTGACCGTAGAAGACACAAGAGTACATGTATGTGAAGGACGGGAGGTGGGGTGGTCTGTGAGTGGATGTTGAGCGATTGAGTTAAGACAGAAGAGCGGCATAGCAGTAGCAGTAGTGAGCGGTGTAGTCCATGATTCGTCAGTGGGCGTGATACTACCCGGTTGCCCAGGCCGAAGTAGAGGGTTGTCTTAGGGGGCCCTACCCAGAGCCTTTGATCAAAGATCTAACCTACAAGGCAGCAGGGCGATGTGAGGGCGTCGCAACCCGTTGGGAGCCGGTGACCAACTAGATGGTTCATACGCCTTTCGGTCTGTGAAGGACCAGGAGCCCAACTCACCCTTAAAGTACAATGCCTCTCAGGGAGGGGCAAGGGGCAGGGACTTTATTTAGTGGCGAGTCACATCCGCCACGTCGCAGTGTTGTTAAACGGACATATGTGGCTTTTTATAGGGCGAACGCTTGCCAGGCGAAAACCCACCACGTCCTGGAACACTGCCGCCGAACCATTCGCTGGAACGGGAAAAACCCGAACCACCCAGCTGGCACCACGAGGAGGTTGTTCGGCAAGCCAGCTCATCGAGTCTGTTCCTGAATTCAAGTACCTTAGGTTCATTATTCTCCTTAATGATCAAGATAACTCCGAAATCCGGAATCGTATTGACGACGCTAGAAAAGCCTTCTTACAACTGAGAAACACGTAGTGGCGAAGGACGGAAATTAGTCTGAAAAATGGCGGTTGAACTGTTCGCTGAACTTGGCAATCTTGTTGCAAACGTTTCGTCGCCAATCGAGGTGACATTACCAATCCCACCGAGGCTCCATTACATTATTGTACACCACTCAACTACGCAGTGATGATGTCACATCGATTGGTGACAAAACATTTGCAACAAAATCGCTAAGCTTAGCGAACAGTTCAACCGCCATCTGAACAACCTGAGCTACCAGTCTTCAATTCTATAGTCTGAGAATGAAGATCCGAGTATTCTCAGTAACCCTTCATGCCATTTTACTCTAGGTTTGCGAAATATAGCCGCTGCGATCCGAAGACACCCGGAAGCTGGAAGTCTTCGACTATTGGCGTTTAAGGGTTATCTTGAAAACGAAATGGTGTGAGCGTATCACCAGTAACGAAATCCGTAAGTGCTGTTACGGTCTTTTGAAGCTTCAGCACTCATCCAACGCCGCAGACTTCCGTGGTTCGGTCACGTCCTCCGCAGACCAGATACCGACTTCACTAGGGCCGTGATTTCGCCCTCGTCGTGTCAGTGTTGGTGTCCTCGCCGTGGTGGACAAGTGAAAAGTGGCTCGCTACAGTGAAGTCAGATGTCGATCTTCTGGGACTTCATGTTGTGCATGGTGCTCGTCACTGGGGGGATCACTGAATCAGCATCTGCGTGGAGCTTGCTGTCGACCACCGCGCTTGGAAAGCTGTAATTCGGGACATGCATGAAGCTGGCTCATACTGTCGCAGGAGCAAGCCGAAGTAAAGTAAAGTAAGAAAGTCAAAATAGCTGGTGGCATAAACGGACATCGCCGGTCGTGCAATGCCTGCGTGAACATGGGATATACCACCGCTTGGTGTCCACCCGAAGCACTGCTTCAGCTTCCTAGTTAAGAAGACAGGTCAACTAAGGACGGCATTGGAAGAGCTTGGAAAAAATAAATAAATGTTTTATTATCGACAGCGCAATTCAGCTCACATCTGGTGGGAACACCGCGTGAGCAACGAGCGTGTTCGGCGCCTTGTTTACGGCACAGGAAAAGGAAATGAACCGCTCAGCACCGTCATTTCACGCACCAGGCTCCGATGGCTCGGCCAAGTGTTACGCATGCCAGTCAACCGACTCCCGCGACGTGCGTTGTTTGCGCGCCGGGGGTGTGGATGGAAGAAGAGGAGGGGTGGCCAAGCGATGACTTGGTCGAGAGGAATGAAAGCACTCACTTCTGAGCTGGCCTCGGTTGGAGCGCCTTAGTTCCGTGGTTGGGGTCCGAAAGACGATGAACACTTTTGGTTGGACACACTTGCTGACATGGCAAGGAGCCGACCTTAGTGGCGTTCGTGCTGTGAGTTTCTTTGTTCCACCCCATCCCTCTTAGCCTCCCCCTCCAACCACGACCACATTATTTAACCTTATATAATTTTGCATAGTAATTTTTTTGATGCACAGTAGCCGGCTGGTAGCTTACCGGAACGATGCGCATCCGTTACCGGTAGCTCAGCCGGTTTGCCCCAGTTGAATTCATTTTTTTCTCCTTTTTTCTGTGTATTGCGGCACAGTAGCTGAGGTGTTCCCCACCTCTGGCTAACGTGTATGATGATGATGACGATGATCGACAGTGCGCAATACGCCTGCATAGGTATGCGCATGATGATACAACAAGGACTGGTAAATGTAAAAGCGGTACAAGTTTACAAGTAACCTATGGATCCATGTGTTAAGTGTGCATGAATGCATGTACTTTATTTATGAAAACAATGCGGGATGGAAACTTCTTGGACTGTTTCGAAAAGCGATGGAACGCTGAATACACCTTTGAAGGGTCTACATTGGTACTGGCCTTCTGGTGCCATTCTGTATTGACTTCGAAAGGTCGTAGACGGTGCTCTATGAAGGCGAAAGTCATAATACTCTAGCGACGAATGATACTGGCGACTCGTACATAGTGCACAGGTATGAGAATAGCACGAACATTAAGCGAGACCAGTAGCGAACTGACCAAGGCCAAGGGAACATACGCACCTCGATAAAAATGAGTTCAGGTAGCGCAACTCCCAAGCTCATTTTAACCAGCTTGCCTTGCTCTCGACCCCTACATATGACTACAACCCAACGATGGACATGAATTATTCAAACTGAGAAAAGCGTGGGGTGGAATGTCCCCAGAGCTGGCACTTAATGGGCAAACGATTAGTTTAATGATGATAGTTAGGTAAGTTATACAACCACAACTATGTTCATACTAGCCTAATTATACAATGTTGTATAACATCTAAAAATAACAACGATATCGCGCTGAGTCTATAAATAAAGACGCCGCTGACATATACTAAAACAAGTAACTTTCTTCCTTTGTCTCAGCCCAACATAGACCACTGAAACACCCAAAGAACTCAGTGCAGCGCAGCCAAACAGGTAACAAATCGGTGAAGCATCCTGAACCGATAATTATCCGTAATATGTTCGGTAGCAGAATCCAGATTGGCTGTCGAGTCAGCTTCGCACATTTCGAGCGGCTACTAGAAATCCCAAGTATGAGTCGTAAAACGAATCTTGAAGGCTGGAGCCAATTTTGATTGGTCCTTATTCAATAAAGAGGACCAGGAACTGCCGTTGTTCTGAGGTGTGACAAGTTGTCCAAGCAAGCGGTAAAGCGCAAATAGAAATTGGATGAATCCGCAGTCCTCTCAAAGAGTTTTCGCCACATCACAGAGCAACCAAAAAAGACTCAAAGTGATGAACAGCACCGCTGTTGTTAATCGTCAAGAGCATGGAAAACATTGTTGAAGTAATCCTCAAGGACAGATAGTTATCCCAAACGGGCTTCAGACCATTTCTTAGTGTCCGGGAGAAAGTAAGAATTGTCTAGAAAATCCACTATTTTATGCGATAATGAGCAATGTTCTAGCTCCAGATCAACTGCGAGAATGACTGATTGTTGTTGGGCTCAAGCAAATTCATGGAACGGTGTACGTACTGAAGAAGAGTAGATTAGGCGGACAAATCAAATCAACAATCGGAAGCACAGTGAGAAAGGAAGTGGGAGGTCGATAAGGCATTTTAAACAGAAATACGCTAATTCCGAACAAAGAAGCTGAGTCATTGATAATGAAGTCGAATTCACACTGGTCAGTGCTGCAACAGCTGAAGATGCCCAGTCAGGTCAGGAAGTGCGAGCGAGAAAATGCACCTATTCATCCGTTATTCTTATAATGGTGGAGGAAAAAGTGGTCGTGGCTGACTTTGGTACATATGGGGGTGAAGGTTGCAAGGTGATGCCACGTCTAATTTACTCAAGGGGGTTATGTGAGGGAAGTTTCACCATACAAAAGACCGCAGTTCGCACAAATGATCGGTGCCAGTGAACTTTGGCTGCAGGGTGCGGTAAACAATCCACTACACATTCCCGTCGAGCTCGGATGTGTGTGTGTGTGTGTGTGTGTGTGTGTGTGTGTGTGTGTGTGTGTGTGCATAGGTGGTTTACGTTGCCTCACAGCTGAACATAACCACAGTGCAACCACATCCGACATGCTGGAATCGATTGACCTAGACCGAGAGTTGGATGCATGGATAATCAAACCTGAAAAATTCGCTGTGGGTTGAACTGCCCCGGTGTGCGCGTAAAGTCATAAGACAAAGGATTATCAGCATGAACACAACGCGTGCGATGAAATCAATGACCCATGCAGTGTGGCGCGGGAGTTATGTGAAAAGAGAAGGCGACGAATCAGTGGGTATCGGAGCCGGAATATGCAAAGTCTAGGTTCGTTATAACGGCGAATTGCAGAGAGTTGGCGTTCAGGATACGGCCGCGATGAGGCGTCGTAAAGCGACTGGGTACTGGGACAGAAAGAGGCATAGATAGTCAGTCTAACATGCGATGAAGAGCCTAATAATCGGCAGAATATGTGTTCCGTTTCGTTCTCGTTATTCCGGTTCACAAACGAATGTGAAATGTAGTCAAGCAAAAAACCTGGAATGTAAACATCAAATAAGACCATACCATTCAAATCGATATAAATTTGAGAGGTATGGTGAGAAAACAAACTCAGTTTCATAAAAAAATCCACCTAAACTAGCCATTGCGGGTACAAACAGATGGGTTTTGTTGGTACATCGGCAATACCAATGATCACAACTGTCGCATTCAGTTGAACAACTGTGATACGTGTTGTGCGCATAGCGTTGGAGGCATAGCGTAAACATAAGTTGGAAGTGAAAGATGCAAAACCCTCACTAACCATTAGTATTATAAAATCTGTCCGTATAGCTTCCAACTCCTGTGTCGTACACAGGCGCTATGCGAAAAGTCTTAGCTCGTGGGGCTAAGAACTGTCCTATGCACAGTTCATAACTGCCATGGCAGTAGAAGTGGAGCCGGGCTATATCATAGTCAACTGTCAAGCATGCAGATCCACGGCTGGAACCCATGGTTTAGTGGCACTAGCTGCTGGTATGCGGAAGTCACGGAGTTGTAAAGCGGAAGGGGTCCGATGAAAGGCGCACCACTGATGGGATCCAGAAGGTCGCAACGCCGGCGTCTGATGCTTTACCAGACTAGTCAAAGCCAGCTGACTGAGAGTGCGCCATGATGAATTAACTCTGAAATGAAAATTTGTCAAGTTGAAAAGATGCAAGTGACAGAATGCGCCAAGTATAAGATTCACTTGACTCATCCCGAGAACCCACACCAGTCTACGAAAGCGCATTCTAATTCGATCGCATTTTTCAACCAATTTTTCCATACTCTTCTGCCACACTATTGCCTTGAATCCACGTGGTTTCGCCAACTAAGATGCAGCAGAAAAAAAGCAGAGCACTTGGGTGTAGGTGGTGGTTAAGCGATGTGGAAGGGTTTCGGTGTTGCGTCTTCAAATCTGACAAACCGCATTATTTTACTCCGGAGTCTTCGCTGCTTTGGTTATGTGATCCGCATGCTTACCCAGCGGCTACCACAGGGTGCCCAGCTTGCGAGCGAAGTAATTGTACAGTCATTATACACGTCAACTAGAGATGGAAAACACCTCAGCTACTGTGCCGCAAAACCTAAAGGAAATTAAATACAACAGTTGCATGTCAGCTGAGCTACCACCAACTGATAGGCATCGTTCCGGTAAGCTACCAGCCGGCTACCGGGTAAAAGAAAAAAAATATTGTTATGTTTTACGCTAAGAAATGAGATCGTAGGTGGAGCGGTAGGCTAAAAGGGATGAGGAGGGACAAAGAAACTCACAGCACGAACGCCACTGAGGTCGGCTCCTTGCCATGTCAACAAGTGTATCAAGCCAAACGTGTTCACTGTCTTTTGGACCCCAACCAGAGAGCCGAGACGCCACAACCGAGGCCAGCTCAGAAGTGAGGGCCTTCATTCCTCTCGACCAAGTCATCGCTTGGCCACCTCTCCTCTTCTTCCATCCACATCCCCGGTGAGCAAACAACGCACGTCGTGGAAATCGGTGGGCTGGCATGCGCAACACGTGGCCCAGCCATCAGAGCCTGGTGCGTGAAATAACGGTGCTGAGCGGTTCGTTTCCTTTTTCTGTGCCGTAAACAAGGCGTCGAACACGCTCGTTACTCACGCGGTGTTCCCACCAGATGTGAGCCAAACTGCGAAGGCACCGATGGTCGAACGTAACTAGCCTCTTTATGTCCGCCGATCATAGGGGCCAGGTTTCGCAACCGTACAGTAGGGTCGAACGTACTGTTTCATTGTACACTCTACCCTTCAGGTCGAGAGTAATGTCGCGCCGCCGCCATAGGTGGCGAAAGTTAGCAAAAGCACTTCCAACTTTTGCTATACCGTTCGTGATCTCGTCTTCGATCCCAAGCGCGCTGATACAACTTCCTAGGTAGTTGAATTTCTGAACGACTTCTAGCTGATCCCCAACAAGGGTCAGCGCAGGAGGCGATCCCTGCCAATCTTGAAGGAACGCTTTGCACTTCGATGGTGCAAAGCAAAGCCCGAAGCGGCTAACAGCCAGTGCTAATCTGTCCAGTGGCGCTTGGCACGTCTGGGAGCTGTCACAGATGAGGGCAATGTCGTCTGCATACTCTAAGTCAAGAAGTCATTCTCCTGGGAGTAGCTCCAAACCTTCCAACTCATGTCCTATAAATGCAATCTCCATGACTTCCTCAATAGCGAAGTTGAAGAGGAAAAGTGCCAACGGGTATGCTTGTCTCACACCGCTGGAGATATTGAAGGGTGACGACAGCTTGCCGTAAGCTCTCACTCTGCCTGAGCTACGTGAACGAAGGCGGGGGATGCAAGGGATGACAAGGAGGCCAGTGTAAAACTGGAATCCAATGCATTAAAGCGAAAAGTTCGAACCTAGCTGTTGTTGGTCGTTCCCAACTCCCGAGTTGGGGACCAAAGGAACCCAAACATGCCTGATTACAAACGCTAGAGGATATGGCAAAGGACCGTATGTAATAGTGCATTTGTAGTGATAATCTCCTACCCTAACAGTCGTAATCCTTTTCAATCCTAACACTGACATCCTATGACCAGTTTCCACCTACATCGGGTAAACATCGACTGAGGCGGGGGTGGAACCCGGAACTTAGTGGTTGACAATCGGCGTCCTGATCACTAGGCAACTGAGACCCGTGAGGAATGGTTGGCACAGCGATACGGAATTCAAGGTAAACCGTGACGAAATATAACCACATGGATGAACATGATAGGCGGATGGAGTTCAAGAGCTATCACCCCACTGTAGCACCGGAGAGGCTTGCACCAAACATAAGCTGGTGAAATGCAGTGGTGCTCACTGAACCAGATATGGAAGAAGTGGCCTTCAACTACCCGTCAGTATCGTACCCAGCATACTCGGCTAACAGTCTAACACTTCAGTATCTCCGTAGATGGCTGATACTTTGAAAAGCCAGGCAAATATTGATAACACGTACTGAAAACTGCTCAGAGGTTCTATCGCTGTAGACATGAAACCATGAAAATAATGAACCGGTCGACCTAATTACAGATGCTGTCCGGTAGTAGTAAGCATCAGCCATGTGGTGAACGGATTCGATAGCAGAGTACATACGTATGCTTGCAGAACTCTAACTTAAGCCATCCAGAAGCACTTGAGTGTATGTCATGTCTGACAAAGGGATAAGCCACATCGTTCGTATAGTGTAATTTCATCAACCAGCTAACATAATCGAGATCTAGACGATGCAGAGAGAACAGATTCTGTCGTAACAAAATAAGAAAGCAACATTTCAGGGAAATTTACGTCTCTGCATGGTGTTAGAAAGATTTCACGTACGAAGATAATTTGACTAGCAAACCAATACTGCAAAACAAGAAACGATGGGGGATAATGGGGCAGTTTGAATGAAAACTTTGATAGTGTGCGCCAGAGGCCCGCCGTGACGTATGGAAAAGAGCTCCGCAGCTGGGCATACTGATAAACCGGCGACGGCATGTATTCATCAAGTGGTTAATCCGTTGGAAATCAGCTTGGATGAAACAGAACCTCTATGGTAACAGCTTCCCAATATATATCACAAATGATCGGAATCGATTGTATCAGAAGCTCGCTTTCGATTCGGACATTTAAGACGAAGCTAAAAGAGTACGTAACTGTGAAAAATACCAAAAAACTGTTTCGCGTTAGTTATGTGGACGAATAGGTGCATGAAAAATCGTCTACTAATAGCTACCCACTTGCGGAATTCGCAATACCAGAGTACGGATAAAGATCAGGAAGAAAGTCTGTCGACCAACTTTGTTCTCTTACCATGAGTTTTCGTCTTGCTAGGCGAATTACACTATCTCTCAATCTTTCCTCATACAGTGTGTCACATCCTTCGACATTACTCAAACTGATGACCCACCGATGGCCTATGAAAACAGTGTCACATTGATTGGTTAGGTAGATGAGCTCTATCCCTGATTTTTTCTCCTACACTCACGACCAAACGGGGTGCCGTTGGTTCGTCTTGCCTTCCGGGCTCGAGTTCACCTGACTCGCAAACGACACCAGTGGCGCGTCTCCTAGTCGGACTGCCTGTTTAAAATATGTTTGGTGCTTAGTTATCTGCAGGGTAATGCCTGATTATGACACGGGGCAGTGAAAGCCGCAAGGAAGATGTCTCGCCGAAGCCGTCTTTGCACGATAGTCAACTATTTGTGACGGTATGTTGTGGACGAGTTGTAGGCACCGTGGACCTGAATGGTTGCTTAGGGCATTAAGGTTTTCCGGTAAGTCCCTTCTCCTGCCATGCTTCGTTCCTAAGATCAGCGTGGTTGTACGACAGCGAAGTATCAGTTCGAATGGCGGATGTACTGATGTTATTTGATGATGATGGTGATCCAATCCGAGTGCTGGCCCATTGATAGCGTACGAAAACATGAGCACATAAAGAGGTTGGATGAATGAGATTTATCTTCGTCTTGTACACTGTTTAGTCTGAGGACCGACGGATGGCCTAAGAAAATACGCGCACATCATTGGGTAGGATAAGGTAGTCCAAACCAGGACGAAACCGTCAGTAGTGGTGTGTCAGTGATGGGAGGAGCAAGACCGAAAAACTTCCAAATCATGAGGTATTCATGACTAGGGGATTTTGGTATAGATGATTGAGGTTCGTCACAGCCAGTTTCCAAATCGGATAGTTGTTCACATGCCCGGAAAAGCGTTAGACTGCAGTTGCAGCCAGTTGGGTATCATCAGTGCTGTGATGAACCTCAATTATCTATATCAAAATCCCCCCTACTCATGAGAACATCAAAATATATCCGCCCTAATAGTTTCTAAATGCTATGTAGTGTTAGTGGACATCGTGTCTTTCGGGACGAACCTTGTCCTATGCAACGTTCGTAAATCGCATGGCAGTGGAGGATAAGACGCGCTATATCACAGTTAGCTTGTAAATCATGACAGTCCGAGGCTGTCCCTCGTGGTCTACTGGCATAAGCTATTGACTGGCGGTTCAAGCCGCTGGTGGTCATGGGTTCGAATCCTGATGGATCCGATGGATGCACACTACTGATGATGCCCAACCGGCTGAAACTGCAGTCTACTACTTGTCCGGGCATGTGAACGACTATCTGATTTGGAAGCTGGATGTGATGAACCTTAATTAACTTCAAATTAGTTTTACCCTTGCCTTTATGTAGTAGTGGTTCATTACCCGCATCAAACCAGATGAAAGACATGAGTGCGTAAAAGAGGTGGGCAAACAGAGAATTTGAAAACTATTAACGTCCCCTAACTAAACCATCTACGTTATATACATTGTTCAATGTTATTAAATCTCACCGCCTACGCGAGGCATGTCTAATTGATTTAAATGATTAACGCTGAAGACAGTTTTCGATGGAACTGTGCATCATTGAAGTATTCGCTTGTCTGCTCGCATGCAATCACTGGTTTTAAAATAACTGCAAGACACCAGTGTCACGAAGGTTTGTAATCACACTTTTCCGTGTGCATATGATTCATTTACCTCAATCGATAATCGGTATTTTACTCCCCTTTTTGCAACACTCCATCTAAACCTACATGAACGACTCACTACCGTCGGGCATTCCGAAGTTTGGTGAAACGACAGTAATAGCACAAAAATCAATGGAAAAGGTACTCGTTTTAGTTCTGTTTGCGATTTCTTTGTACTTTATGGTCGGATCTGTGATGGCACAACAACGTACTAAGCGGCACTGGACAGATTATCACTGGCTGTCCCTCACTTCAAGCTTTGCTTCGCACCATCCAAGTGCAAAGCGTTCCTCCAATATTGGTCTGGACCGTCTCCTACGCTGACCTTTGGTGGGGATCAGTAAGAAGTCGCACAAAAATTCAACTATCTGGGAAGTTGTATCAGCGCCTGTGGGAATTAAGATGAGATCACGAACCGTATAACAAAAGCTCGGGACGCTTTTGCTAACCTTCGCCACTTATGGCACCGGCGTGACATCACTGTTGCCCTGAAGGGTAGAGTGCACAATGCAGTGGTACGTACGACCTTACTGCACGGTTGCGAAACCTAGCCCTTTAAATCAGCGGAGCTAAAGAGGCTAGTTAAGTTCGACCATCGGTGCCTTCGTAATTTAGCTCACATTTGGTGGGAACACCGCGTGAGCAACGAGCGTGTTCGACGCCTTGTTTACGGCAAAGGAAATGGAACTGAACCGCTCAGCACCGTTATTTCACACACCAGGCTCCGATGGCTCGGCCACATGTTACGGATGCCAGCCCACCGACTCCCGCGACGTGCGTTGTTTGCTTGCCGGGGGTGTGGGTGGAAGAAGAGTAGCGGTGGCCAAGCGATGACCTGGTCCAGAGGAATGAAGACCCTCACTTCGAAGCTGCTCTCAGTTGGAGCGTCTCGGCTCCGTGGTTGGGGTCCGAAAGACGATGAACACGTTTGGTTGGATACACTTGTTGACATGGCTAGGAGTCGACCTCAGTGGCATTCGTGCTGTGAGTTTCTTTGTCCCACCCCATCCCTTTTAGCCTCCCCCTCCAACCACGATCTCACTATTTAGCCCTGTATAATTTTGCACAGTAAATTGTTTTGATGGACAGCAGCCGGCTGCCAGCTTATCGGAACGATGCCCATCCGTTACCGGTAGCTCAGCCGGCTTGCACCAGTTGCATTTTTTCTCCTTTTTTATGTATTTCGGCACAGCAGTGGAAGTGTTTCGCACCTTTAGCTAACGTGTATAATGATGATGATGATTATGGTCGGATCAGCTGGGCTGTCCCCCCTTGTTAAGAATGGACGGACTATTATCACAACATGCGTGCTTAGAACTGTGCACGATCAGAAACAGATCCTAAGCTAGAAGCATGATTGAGCATTAATAATGCCATTCACAACAGAATAAGGATAATCTTAAGAAAGCATAAAGGTGAAAACTTACGTGGATGGTCAAGTTGACCGAATGAGTATTTGCCACGGTACACATTGCAGTACGCCTCATCCGCCGATCGATTCACCAAGTCATCATCAGAGGCCAAAGTCAGATCACAATCTGGTAAACGATCGCACCGCATAGACGCTGGGACGCAAGCTTCACGATCGGGTTCGACTAGAGCATGGTAGTTGTCCGACGAAGATTTCGAGGTAACATCCAGTTGCACGGAGTTGCACCAAAACCCGGAAAAGAATTCGCATAATACTCGCTCTGAAAGAGAGATACGGGTGTGTTCAGAAGTTTATAAGGAAGAAGGATAAAAGCGTAATTTTAAAGCCAATAAATGGGATATATTTGGGTGTTGCTCTTCCCAACACTGGCACACCACGACCGCGGTTTTGTCTTGGTTTAGACTCGTCAGATGGAGATAGCCTGAGCTGGGGTGGAACCCAGAGCTTAGTAGTTCATGGCTGACACCCTGAACACTATGCCACTGAGAATATCTTACTGCAGGAATATTTTTCTGCAAGTGGGCTAAGTTATTATTCGGGGTTGCGTATCGAAAATCACGAGGTAGATTATCTGTACAGCGGAATACAAGGTCCGGTTACGTTAGCATTGTTGCTGGTAGTCAGGTACCCCGCGTGCTCATTTCCGTATACTGAGATCTTACAGCATTTCATTGAGAAACTAAAAAGTGAATATGGATCAAGAACGCATAACTTTTGTTGGATGGCAGTAGGGGATTGAGTAGATAGAAAGCTACATCTCGCAGATTGTTGAAGGTTGAGCGAGCGATGAAATCCACTAGGGTTGAATGGTAAGCACATTCAGTCCACTACGTCATAGAATGGCGAAGCCGATGACCCTTCACTCGTACGTAACCATCGGATAACGGACAAGCATTGATGTAGAGGAGGGAATGAAGTCAAGGTAGTCTATTTCTTACAATAAGGGATTGCTGTCTCATACGAGTGTGGGAGTAAACTCACTGTGAGGCAGTGAGATAGAAGCTGGAGACAATGTTGGTCCAGTCGATTCGCGTCAAATGGAACTGCAGCATCCTCAAGAAAGTCACTGGGTGCCATAGGTCAAATCCAAGGTTCGTGATACTGATTCACTCTACACACAGCCACTGATAGCGAGCTTGAAATAGGCTCAGAGGGCTTGGTTGAGGGTAAACCATGCCATGCCAGCTGGAACTAGTGTCTATACGTAATGGATAGTCGGGGGTGTAGTGGAACGACAGGAGCAACAACCAATCGAAAAGCCTGCCACGATAGAGGTGCAAGAGACAAATGGTACCAACAAAGTGAGGATATTGTCTCGTGTTTCCAAAAGTGGTAATTACAACGAGCTACAGCGGGATCACACAATACCGCCGAACATTGTATTATTTTTTGGTTTTACGCAACTGATAAGCCCTGCGTAAAAGTATATGGACTACACATTGTGGAGAATAGCTAGGCCAAACGGAATTGGGGCCAGGAATATTCCACCATGTCAAACTTGAGTTAAATAGGAAACTCGGACACACATGCCACTCAAGCGTAGATTTGTGTGTTGATTGACAGCGGGCGCGGCGCCATATAGCACAATCGTCCAGAATTCGGCAAATGTGTGGAGAGACTTCGGATAACCGCAAATATTAACTGATCTCGTGCTGCGTTGAAAAGAACATAGAATGTGAAAACGGGATCTGGAGCGGTAGTACGAATTCAACACTGCGTCTTGGTTTGCCGTCTAATATTTCAGCGGTGATACCGTTAGAACTGTCAAATCGTGACTCGACAGCGAGTGGCGTGGTGAAAAGTTCAAAGTTATAACCTCAACCGAAAGCAAGGCAGAATGTCTGGCAGACAACCAGTTTAGCGAGTGACACAAGCGTACCCCAGATGGACATAACCTCTTCCTGGTAAGACGAAGCACCATACCCTTTGAATTGGATAGCAGTTAAACAGTGTCAAATGGTGCCAGCGTTGTTATCGAAATGATGTGTATGTAGGCAGGCAGCGAGGAAAACTAACTGATCCGAGGGTGTCTGGATTCCCCGATTCCCCCATAAATATAAAGCAGCTTGATTTAGGTGCGATAAGTAGGATGGGCAATCGGGACAGTTTGGGCGTTGTTGGTCCGCCTCGCCTTGCGCTCCAGATTAGCACTGGCTGTCAGCCGCTTTGGGCTTTGCTTTGTACCATCGAAATGCAACGCGTTCCTCCAAGATTGGCACGGATGGCCTCATGCGCTGACCCTTGGTGGGGATCAGCTAGAAGTCGTTCGGAAATTCCACTATCTGGGAAATTGTATAAGCACCCTTGGAATCGAAGACGAGATCACGAACCGTATAGCAAAAGCTCGAAGTGCATTTGCTAACCTTCGCCATTTATCGCACCGGCGCGACATCACTCTCGTCCTGAAGGGTATTGCGTACAATGCAGCGGTATGTTCGACCCTAATATACGGTTGCGAAAACTGGCCCCTAAGATCGACAGACATAAAGAGGCTAGTTACGTTCGACCATCGGTGCCTTCGCAGTTTGGCTCACATTTAGTGGGAATACCGCGTGAGTAACGAGCGTGTTCGACGCGTTGTTTATGGCACAGAAAAAGGAACTGAACCGCTCAGCACCGTTATTTCACGCACCAGGCTCCGATGGCTCGGCCACGTGTTACGCATGCCAGCCCACCGATTTCCGCGACGTGCGTTGTTTGCTCACCGGGGATGTGGATGGAAGAAGAGGAGAGGTGGCCAAGCGATGACTTGGTCGAGAGGAATGAAGGCCCTCACTTCGAAGCTGGTCTCAGTTGGAGTCCAAAAGACGGTGAACACGTTTGGCTGGATACACTTGCTGACATGGCAACGAGCCGAGCTCAGTGGCATTCCTGCTGTGAGTTTCTTTGTCCCTCCCCATTCCTTTTAGCCTTCCCCTCCACCTGAGATCTCATTTCTTAGCGTAAAACATAGTAATATTTTTTTTCTTTTACCCGATAGCTGGCTGGTAGCTTACCGGAACGATGCCTATCAGTTGCTGGTAACTCAGCTGGCATGCAACTTTTTGAATTTATTTTCCTTTTTCTTTTATGTATTGCGGCACAGCAGCTGAGGTTTTTTCAACCTCTAGCTGACGTGTATAATGATAATGATGCGCTCCGGAGACTTGTTTATTTGCAATGTAGTTGGCTCGTAAGCAGTATCCGGATTTGCCTGTCACTGTGACCTCCATGGGGACAGTCACAGGACGCCTGCGCCTACAAAGGGTCATGAGTGGTTTGCGCTGCACCACCCACAACCAGTACTAGTACCACCCGCATAATATGTAGCCATTAAGCTGGACTAGTGTGCAGTGTGAATAGTGTCGGGGTAAGAGAGAACTAGTGTATTGCAACAAGTTTTATCACGTCGATTGCATGTGTTTTAATGCTAAAAATTCTCCTGTCTCGGATACAAAAGCACTTCTCCAGGTGTTTAACATGCCACATTTGTCCCCATTACGGGTTAATCAGATTGGAGACACATCACCGCGTGCACAATACATGCACTTCTCCTGTGGCGGGTCACTGTAAAAACCTGTGGAGTTACCCTCCACCAGCACTAGTTTTGAAATTGCTCGTTATCCTTCGCCGAGCTGACAAATCCGAGTTAAATGGATGTAAGCTCAATCGTGTTCAACAAAATGATGAGAAACAATCCACAAAAGGAACATTTTATCACATTTATGAAAGCAACCCGCGACAATGCAGTCAGAATATCCTAGTTTCCACAGTTGCTCAAGTAAAAACTTTAGTTCTGAGGATGATGTATCAAGGGCAATGTATAAGTTCCTTACAAAAACGGATTGAAAGTCACTAAGAAATTCAGGCTAGCATTCAAGCAAATGACAACTAATAGAAATGATACAGTGAGTGAATAGTTGATTGACTGAGTTGTACCAGAGTTGGTTAACGCACGTGATGATGCGGCCACCACAATTCCTTGGCTTGCCTGGGCGATCGGACCTAATCGCAAGGTATCCGCTGATGTTAATGACTCCATCTTCAATACCAGAATACAACCAGTTTTCTTGTAACGTAATAATACCTGTGTGGAAGTGACTGGGATGGAGTGGTGGAAAATGTTCAAGCAAGCGTAACCTGCGGAATGAAAACCCGACGGTGGAATGGTTTTGCCTTGTGTCGGCCCAACAATCTCAGTATCCGTGTGTGCTCACCCAATCACCGTAGTAAAGTGCCATCAAGAAAAGACCGGGACTCACAAACGTAGCCATCTTTCCAAGAAGTAGTGTTGCAAACTCGGCAATTCATGGTGAGGCCAAGGTATCACAGACGTGGATGTAAAAAGCCACACAAGACCACGACCGCCCCCAACAGGATCAAACGGGCAAAGTATTGACATAGACGGTCTGGTGAGCGCTTAGGAGCAAGGACGGTCAGTCGCATTACAGCTAAACGCCGAAAGACCTGTTGCACAGCATCCGCCTGCACGCAACGTGGGAATCAGTTCGAAGTACATAGGAGTGAGAACACTGCGTCGTCAACCTGAGCTATCCAACAAAGTAACAACGGTCGTGCATCATACCAACATGCGAGATTTGCTACGGCTGCACCAAAGAAAAAGCGCCGTTTTAGTTACAAGTACATTTGAATGAAGCCGAGATTGAGCTTTTGTGATTTCGAAAGGCTATGCTACAGAGCCCGATTAAGAGGAAAAGAACCAACGCGACACCTAGCGTAAGCCAAGAAAGAGCAGTCTTCAATGATCTGTGTGGATGACGCGAATTTTAAGGAGGAAGTGAACTACCGTCCTGCAAATTGAACAAGACAATCTGAATAGTACTCACAAGTAACAGGATTTAACTTGTAATTCTGATAAGGCTTTCGTCCCAATAGTTCACAAGTTACATAGCAGAGCCTAGTCCGGAAAAGCGCCAGACGCGTTTCGCCCTATTGAGGCTCCTCAGTGACGCGCATTCCCTTGGTCGTCTAAGGAGCATCGAGCCCTTAACCACTGGAGGCAGATGACAACTAGCCAGCAGCTTAAGCCACTGAGCCATGGGGGACGTTGGCTGGGCTACATAATTTGCAAGCTAACTGGGATATGCACCACCTATCTACCACTGTCACTGACAGTGGTTAGCCTGCAAGGTGATGACGTCCTCTCACTAGACGCCATATCCATAGCATTTGAAACTAGGGGAGGCTGTTTTGGTTTTATAGTACTCACAAGTAGCAGGATTTTAGTTGTAATTCTGATAAGGGACGAAAGCCTTATCA